AGCTTCTTCTCAGTCTCATTTTTCTACCTTTCCTGTAATTCGCCGTGTGCTGCCGTGGCTCTCAGGAGACCAGGACTCACTGCAGAGGTTCTGGTAACGTCCCCTTCCCCTGTCCCCTACACAGCAGTTTTAGCATTTCTGTTTTAATATTTAGATCTTTAATCCATTTCAATTTTAGTTTAGTGCATGGTGAGAGTTATAGGCCTAGTATTAATCTTTGGGAATTTGAAACCCAATTTTTCCAGCACCATTTATTAAAGAGGCTATCTTTCCTCCAGTGAGGGTGTTTGGCTCCTTTGTCAAAGACAAGGTGGCTGTGTCTGGAGTTGTTTCAGCATCTTCTAATCTGTTTTACTGGTCCTCAGGTCTGTTTCTTTGCCAGTACCATGCCATTTTACCACAGTGGCATTGTAGAATAGTTTCAAGTTGGGGGTTGTAATAGTCCCTGCGATGTCTCTGTTACCTAGAATTGCTTTTGCTATTCTGTGTCTCTTCTTGTTCCAAATGAATTTTTGGATTGTTTTCTCTAGGTCCATGAAGTATGCTGCTGATATTTCAACTGGGATTGCATTGAATCTATATAACAGTTTTGGAAGTATGGCCATTTTCACTATGTTCATCCTTCCAACCCAGGAGCAAGGGACGTCTTTCCATTTTCTGATATCCCCTTCAAAATCTTTTTTCAAAGTGCTATAGTTTTCAGAGAAAAGGTCTTTGATTTCTTTTGTTAGGTTGATTTGTAGGTATTTCAGTTTTATGGATGCTATTGTGAAAGGAATTCTTTGCCATATTTCTGTCTCAGTGAGTCTGTTGTTTGTGTAGAGGAAAGCTATTGATTTTTGTGTGTTGACCTTGCATCCAGCTACTTTACTGAATTTGGTAATTAAGTCTAGAAGACTTTTGGTGGAGATCCTGGGGTCTTTATGTAGAGTACCATGTCATCTGCAAATAGTGACAATTTGAATTATTTTTTCCCATCTTTCTTCGTTTAATTTCTTTCTCTTGTCTAATTGCTGTGGCTAAGGTTTCCAAAACTGTATTGAACAGGAGTAGTGATAGTGGAAATTCTTGTCTTCTTCCTAATATTAGTGTGAAGGATTTCAGTTTTGACCATTTAGTGTGATATTGGCTGTTGGTTTTCCATAGATGGCTTCTATCAGATTGAGGTAGAGACCATCTATTCCAATTTTTGTAGGGTTTTTACCCTAAATGCATTCTGGATTTTGTCATATGATTTTTTTGCATCTATTGAGATGATCATATGACTTTTGTCCTTGGCTCTCTTAATATAGTGTATTACATTTATTCATTTGTGCATGTTGAACTATCTCTGCCTCCCTGGGATGAATCACACTTGGTCAGGGTGTAT